TCACCACTCTCCCTATCTACTATCTAACGAACCCACAGCTAAGGGAACGGTCTTGGCGGAACCAGCGGGGAAAGGAAACCCTGCTGAGTTGACTCTAATCCGGCTTTGTGGAACGACTTAGGGGGTGTACCATAGGTGGGAGCTTCGGCGATCGTGAAGTACCACTATCATCAGTGTCGTTTTACTTATTTCATCAAGTTGAGACATGCGCAGCATGTGTTTTTGCCTCAGGGCGCACTTTTTGGAGCTGATCAATGCGGAAGAGACGGACAGGTGGAGAGCTTGGCTGGGGCGGCACATATAGGAAACAACAGCGCAGGTGTCGAAAGGCAGGCTCAATGAGAACAGAGACTTCATGCCGACCAATAGGGTAAAAGCTAGCTTGATTTTGATTTTCAGTACGAATACAAACGGTGGAAGCATGGCCTATCGGTCCTTTAGGTCTGAGAAGCGTTCAGCTAAAGGTCTCAGGGAAGTTACCATACTACGCCGTGCAACTGCAATACGAATATTCCGTGCTCCCCATGATTAAATTTCACAGGCTTGCTGAAATGTCCAGCTCAATTCGGCTGCATGAATGGCTGCCATTTGACAAAATTCAGCTTGCCGTGGTGGTGATAGGTGACTGCCACGCTTTCTGGGGCTTTGGGATCTCCATTTGTGCGCAGAAGTGTTTGTTGTGCAGCTACAGTGACGAGACACTATCTGCAACCTGATGGTTGCTATGCAGAAGTTCATTGCAGGTGAGTCTGCCATGGCTGCTGAGCCTGTGTAATCCTTGGTTTGCGCCTTTATTGTTATGAAGTAAACCTTTTTCCTATTGTGTTGTATATATCGACGGCGCAATCCGGCAGGGTTTAAGTGAACGCAACGGCAGTCAGCTAGGAAAGCGTACATGCGTGAATTATCTAATGCACGCTGGAAGGAGAGCAACGTGCGGCCGATGCAAAAGGCATGTGGGAGAGCTGCTTGCTCGTGCAGAGCATGTACTCAGGCGGGTGAATGCTGATGCCAAAACAAAAACAGAAACAAACATTAGGTATTGCTGCGCAGCAGTGACAGTTGTAGAAAGGGGCAACCGCACGCCCATCTCAATTTTGTCTTCCGCCACAGCAGTTCGTGAGCCGCCTGCAGCTGTTGCTGCTGATGCTGCTTTCTCTTCTGCCCCTGCTCGTACTTTGCCAGATAGCAGCGGCAGGAGCGATCCCCCCTCCAGCATTTACTCACAGGATTTTCTTGCTGCCGTAGTTGCCCTTAATGTTGCTTCAAGAGCAGGTTTGTGTTCTTGCCGCCGTTATTCTCGTTGCTGTTGCTGGTGCCACGAAGTATCAGAGCATGCGAAATCAGCACTTGTGAGAACCGCCGAAATGTAGGGCTTCCGTTATCTGCGATCTGCTGTGGCTGATGCCTTTGTGGCTGCTGCTGTGGCTGCGGCTGTGGCTGACCTGGCCGCTGATAGAAATGTGCCTTTCTTTCCTCTGCCACACTGCCTGCTGTTGCTGTTGGTGTTTCTTGTACTGCAGTAGGGGCATTCACATTGCTTCCAGGATACATTGTATCGAAGATAAGCGTGCACCTTCTGGCACCTTCAAAAATGATACCACAACCCAGCCAACGGTTACCGATCATGTGTGACACCACCCTGCTTTCAATGCTGCCTGCATTCTCAGTTAGCCACTGCCTTGCGGCTACCTGTCGCTTCCATTCAATGCACAACCAACAAATGCAGGTAATTCTCCAATGCCAAAGTGCTTGGTATTCTTAAGCTAGCTGAATGCCTCGTCATGGGTGGTTTAACTCCGCTAAGCAACATTTCAGATGGCACAGATGCCATCAAGATATTCACCGCGTCCACTGTCTTAAATTTGAGTACTTGTTGGGGTCTTGAGATGCAACTGAGAACCTTAGCGTGCCATGAGGATATTCGTTGACTGGAATTCTCGTGCTTGCCAGGCCTTTGGAATCGCAATCTGGGCATGGATATGCATTGGTACAAAAAGGCATTATTAGCAACGTNTTGCCAGGCCTTTGGAATCGCAATCTGGGCATGGATATGCATTGGTACAAAAAGGCATTATTAGCAACGTACAGAAAGCCAAGGGCAGATTCCTTGCCAATGAGTTTTGACATGCTTTCTGGGCCAGTGTGAGCATGAGCAGTGCGCGCCGCCGTTGCTGTGAAGCACACAGTATCCTTTGCTGTGCAATGCATACAAGATCAATGCCCTCGGGCACGGGTTACCTCGACTCAACATCAGCCAGCCAGGAGAGCATACGACAATGCACACTGGAACTAAGCAAACATGAGGTACTGCTGCGGAGCAATGGAAGAGTTGGACTCATCCTCGTCTCTAATGGCATCTAACATCACATCAGTCCGTCAAGCACCTGCTGCTGTTGTCGCTGCTGCTGTTTTGCTCATGCCACTGCTGCTACCTATGCGGGTAGCACCTGCAACAGCGAAAGCCAATATACTATTAATTGGCACGGTACCGCCTATGCGCTGGAGCCAGGTTTTCATCCGTTGTAGTTTTCCGTGCTGCAGCGTCGGCAGCCTCTGCAGGTGTCGCACCTATTCAACCTCCTGAAGCAAACTGAAAAAGCTCCGCACGTGTGCAGCCAAATACGCTCGCAGGTGCCCCAACGAACACACTGCGGCGAGCGCAACGACAGTAGCAGCTGCAGGAAGGGCAGCCCGAAGTGGTGGACGGGAATACCAACAGACTGGCGGTGTCTGCACCACACGAGGCTCAATGACTTCGCTTTGCCGGTCCTGCTGCTGTTCTTATCGCCGCTGGTTTTGCTCTTCATGAGTGGTCACAAATTCATTTCTTGTGAATGCGCTCATTTGTACTTGTGAACTTGTGCGTTTGTGAATAAGATGTCCATTTGTTTTCGTGGATAATGCTTTTATTTGTCCCTGTGAATATGTTTATTTGTTTTTGTAAGCATGCTTATTCGCACTCTCTGCAGGCTTGCTGCAACGAGCTGTCTGTGGAGATCTCGAGTGTCTCTTCAGCGGCTGGCTGTTACAGAGAGTTGCATCTGTTGCCATCGGTGTGAAATGCAGCGTAATGTCTTTTTTTTTGTTTCACTGCCATCCCATTTATGGCAAAGGATACGCAACAGAAGAAGAGCGTTGCGTTGCAGAGGCAAAACCCTTCCCTTTGTGTTAGCGATGTGAAACCCAAATATGCATTTATGCATATATATATATATATATATATATATATATATATATATATATATATATATATATATATATATATATATGGGTGTGTTTATATAAATTTACATAAAAGTACATGCGCATACAAGTATATATAAATACGCATATCGCGAAATTGAAGCAAATATGCAGAATATCATGGGAGGTACAAGTGAGTGCCTGCAGACTCCATTTACCTCAGTGGACCTCAAATAGGCGGCAACGACCTGCTGCTGCTGTTGCTGTTGCTGGTACTGTTACTACCGCTGCTGTTTCCATCCCGAAGTTGGATTTCAGCAGCAACAACAGCAACTGCCTCAAGAAGAATCTGGACTTTCGCCAACCGCATGCGAAGGGCGGCAGCAGCGACAGCGCAGATGCCTGAACCACAGTCCCTCAACTCTAAAACATACACACTAAACGCCAAGCCAAGGACAGAAACATAGAGAGACGACAAAGAACGCCCAGCAAGAGGAGATATATTGCCCAAGAAAAATTAAGCAGATAATGTGAGCAGATGTGCAATGACAAGCAAACAAACAAATAACATCACAAATGATCTAATCATTAGCGCCTAGGAATCGCAGCTGGCCAGCAGAAAGACAAGCAACAGAAGGGGCATCAGTAGCAGAATAAGCAGCACAGCACCAGCAGCAAGAGCAGGCCAGGAGTCTGACACTATCTCGAGTTCCCGTGACATCTCTTGAGTGTCTGCGTCCACTTCCTGAAAGATGATACTGGCGGCGACAGAGGAAACCGCGGCCCAACGAGGGCATCCCGAACGAAGCGAAGACACCATCAAAACCCTAGGACCACATCCACACACTCCACACTACAAATAATAGACCCTAGATCCTAAATCCTTAGACAGACATTCTTGAGCGCAACGAGCCCCACACCAGCAAGTGCAAACCCTAAATCCTAAGTCATCAGCCCTCAGCCCTGTGCAGTTGCGCCGATGCTTCATTTGAACTGGACAGAAAGAGACGGGCTGACGATCAAAGGAGGAGGCGAGACTCAGGGTTTAGGATATACGATTTAGCGAAACCCTTCAAGACGGAAGGACTAGGAGCAAGAAAAGCGAGAGAAGAATAGAATGATTAGCAAAAGATAAAACAATTAAAGAGACTAAGCACAACCGAAAAGAAGCAGTGTGCTTCAAGGACGCGGTCGAATATCTGGACACCTGGAACCCTGAGAACCAAAACCCTAAGCACCAAACCTTTGACTGACACGAAGTCTCGAGGGTGCGCTGCCGCAAACCGAAGTTGCGGAGGAGACAAACAAAACTCCCACGTGTCCTGCAGAAACCCCGAAACAGATCCAGCTGCGCTGCTACTGCTCCTGTTGTTGTTGCAGCTGCTGCTGCGGCTTCGCACCACCGAGGTTCATCATAGGTTCTGCCTACGGGTATAGGGTTTGGACATCAGCAACAGGGTGTGGGGCTCAACGCCGAGGCTTGAGGTTTCGAGGTCAGGGCAAGGACTGAGCCTCACAATAAGGGTTTAGCGTTTCGGGTTTGCCGTCCGCACTTCACGTACAGGTTTGAAGAATGAGGGCTCAGCGTTAGGCATTAAATGTGAGAACGACAATTTAGGGTTTAGGTGAGGGTTTAAAATAAAGAATCAGGGTTTGCGTGATGGCTTAGGGTCTGCGTGAGGGTTCAGGGCCTACGAGAAGAGAAGCCTTCACTTCTAAAAACAACATTTCCTCTCTTTCATGCTGGCGTTTTATCTTCAGCAGCAAATCAAAAGGCAGGCCGCTTTCTCGCTCGCCGTTCAACCAGATGCATGTTACTGCTGCTGCTGCTTCACCGCCTGCTGGTGATACAGGTGTTTGTGTTGCTGCTGGGGGGGAAGAGCCACCGCGGGAGATTGACCACACGCTGTCTCCTTCCTGTTCTCAACAACACAGCAGCAGCCGCTGATGCTGCTGCAATGCTAGCAGACGCTGCAGCGGCCTAAGTAGCAGCAGCAATGACCCCAACACCGACCGGTGCAGCAGCAGCAGCACTACGAACAGGAGCACCAGTACGCTCAGCTGTGACAGCAGCACGAGCAGCAACAGCAGTGGAAGCAAAATCGCTAAGGCCAGCAGCAGCAGCGCTGCAGCTAACAGCAGCAGCAACTCTATGAACAGCAAGTGTAGCAAAACTGCACACAGCAGCACACTACAAATGGTAGGAGCAGAAGCAGCAGCAGGAACAGCAGTAGACCTGGACGATGTTTTCAAGTTGGAAGCCGAACTGTCTGCAGACTTCCCCGGGGACAATTTTCGTGAAGGCCAAAAGCTCGCCCAGCCTAACTCACAAAATTAAGATTTAGGGTTTAGGGTTTAAAAAATTCAGTACCTTCGACCACCAAACACTAGACACCCCACCATGTGGCAACGACAGCAGCAAAACGAACAGTAACAGCAGCGGTGTCCACAGCAAAACCACCGTCACGATAACAATAGCAGCAGCAGCATCGCCACCGCCAGCAGCAGCACCACANCACAGTACTAGTAAAAGTAGTAACAGGTGGTGGCACCTTCCGGACTGCATGCGCTTATCGAGAAAGTCTGGGAGATTGTTTATTAATGCGGGGATCAGCCGAAGAGAGACAGATGAAGCGTTTGGAGGGAAGAAATGGAGGGCCTTATTCGGGGATGAAACACGAGCGCCTGCCGTTGCCGCTGTTGCTCCTCCCGCTTCTGCTACTGTTACTTTTGCTGGTGTTGTGCGCCGTGGTCCTGCACCACGTGGAGCCACGTCGTTGCTGTTGCTGCTGCTGCTGGGATTGCTGTTGCTGCTTGCTTTGGCTGCCAGGCGCTGAATTACCTCGGCGGCAATGCGTTCCCGCAAGCATTGCTGCTGCTTCCGATTTGGTGATTTCAGAGGTTGTTGCTGCTGCTGCTGTGACGTCTGCATCCAGGTCTCGAGAGCAACCGTGAACAAATCTGCGCTTTTCTGGACCCCCCCCGTGGAGTCTTCTAGGCTGCTGCTACTGCTGCTGCTACTGCTGCTGTCTGCTTGCTGCAGCAAGGAGACAGCAGGGAGCGGAGCATCTGCTGGGGTGTCTGAACACCCGTCAACATCCATCATCTCCAATGCGCTGAAATACTGCTGGACGTTTGCTGCTTCTACTCGAGTCAAATGCACCTCTCCTGCTGCTGCCCTGCTGCCGCTGCTCAAAAACAAGCCGCTACAGCTGCAACTGCTGCTGTTGCCGCCTGCAGACGAACTGGTGTTGCTAGTGCTAGCGCTGCTGCCGCTGCTGCTGTTCCTGTTGGTGGAGGTGGTGCTGATGTTGCTGTTGTTGGCGTTGTTGCTGTTGGTGGTGCTGGCGTTTATGCTGCTGCTGTTGGCGCTGCTGTTGCTGATATTAGTGCCGCGGTTCAGCTCCTGTATCATGAGCGGCAGTTGCTGCCGCTGCTCCATGAGTTCTGCTGCAGCAGCGGGGAGGCCCTGTGATCGCAGCAGCAGAAGCTGCTGCTGTACGGTGCTGCCTACGAGCACGGGCAGCCATTTTGCTGCCTGAAAAGCCATGCAGCAGCAGCAGCACGTGCTGCTTCTGCTGCGCGCAGCATAAATTACGTGTCGATGCAGCAGCAGCGCAACGGGGCCCACAAACTCGGCTGCTATGGCTTCGCGTGCTGCTGCTGCATCCTCAGCAGCAGTTGCAGTGGTAAGTGCGCTCTGTGTTGCTTCTGCTGCTGCCGCTGCATTAACAAGAAGGCACAGGTCGCCAGCAGTCTGAAGAGAAGGACCTCGCCACTTGTCTCGAAGCAGATACCACTGATGCGGTTGTTGCTGTTGCTGCTGCGGCTGCCGCGGTTGCTGCAGCTGTTGCGGTTGTTTCTCCTGTTGCTGCCGCTGCTGCTGCTGCCACTGTCTTACTTCCTCAGCAGGCAGCAACAGGGCAACCGAGGACCGCGCAGAGTTTGATGTGGGAGCTGGAGACAACAACAGAGAAGCCACCGGGAGTACGTAGACCCGGCGCAGCAATCCAGCAGCAACAGCCGCTGCTGCTTCTTGCTGCTGCACAGACACAAAACAGGGGGACGAGCAGCCACATATGCAAGTTCTGGCGCAGTTGTGCAGCAGCTGCTGCTGTCTCTGCTGTGTTTGTGGCGTTCGTTGTTGTTGCTGCTGCTGTTGCAGCTCCTCAAGCAGCAACAGCTCCAGGGTCCGCGCAACGCCTCCGAGCAATCGATTCTTCAGCTCTTCGTTAGCAGCTGCCGCAGAATAAGCAGCAGATCCCCAAGAGACAGAAGCCCAAGTGTCTGCCTCCATGTTATGATGGTGGCGGTGGTCCAGCTGCTGCTCCTGCTGCTGCTGGGTCGTGAGGCGCGTGATGCTGCACTAGCGGTAGATGCAAGCGTAAAGACCCCTAGGGGCATTTGCTGTTGCTGCTACTGCAGCAGCTCTTGCTGCAGCTGCAGCAGAAGAAACAGCGGATCCCCGAGTGTAATCGTACAGCTGGAGGACCGACGGGGCCGCATCCTGTGTGGCAAAGTCAAAATTGACGCCGAGGCTCATCATCATGAGCGTCCCATTTCAAATCCTAAACTATAAACCATGAATAACTAGACCCTGAATTCCTAGACCCCCAAAGCACGTTCGCCTGCTGCACCAGCAACTGTGACCTGTTGAGAAGAGCAGAGGGTGTGTT